AGTCTTGGATCATTACTGTCCCTACTGGCCAAATATAGTTGTCTTTTGTGTTTACATGAAGTTTTTATTCCAATTGTTATCCAGGTGGATTTGTTTTTATTTTCATTTTTGACTATTTTTAAGGGAAAGCTTGAATAAAAGATCCTCAAGTATGTGTTCAGAAAGCAATTAAATTTAGAATCAATATTACTGCTGTCAAATACATTGTCCCACGATTCATTACTTAATTTTGTGACAAAATCTGCCATCGTATGCTTGTTGATTTTCCTTACTGTTTTATATTGTTGATTACTGGGCTGAAAGTCAATATTATTTATTTCTATGAGTTGAGCATCATGATCGGATAAGCCATTTATAAAGGGTCCTACAGTATAATCTCTTAATTTTGAGTTATCAATGAATATATTATCTATCGCTGAACTAGAATTATTTTGAATTAGCAAGCATTACCCAAGTTTAATCTCGTCTTAATTTCCTCCTGATTTAGGTTTTGATCTGTGATCATTGTTCCCAAATATCTGAACTCTGCCACGTTTTCAAAACATCTGTTACCTATCTTTAGGTCATGAATTTGCCCTGCATTTTGGTGACAAGACAGCAACATATACTAAGATTCCTCTGTGTTTACTTCTAGACCAACCTCCTAACTAGCGTCAGTCCATGTGTTTTTCCTTATGGTATCTATATTACCACCCAGTAGATTCACATCATCAGCACAGACCAACAGTTGATGTGTCCCGTTTAATTTCAGTTCCACCTGCATTTCTTAGACATTTTTAATGGAATATTCTAAAGCAAAGTTGAAAAGGAATGGTGATAAAGCATCTCCTTGTTTTAGACCATTCTGGCTATGAAATTATCAGACAAATTTTTACCTATACGGACTTTACTATATGTTTCATTTAAACACATTTTAATTAACCTAACTAGTTTCATGGGTATCCCAAACTATCAGAATATTGTACAATACTTCCCTCCTAACTGAATCATAGGCTTTCTTGAAGTCTATGAATAGTTGATGCATTGTCTCAGTGTACTCCCATTTTTTTCCAATATCTGACGAATGCAAAAGATCTGGTCTGCAGTTGATCTGTTATGTCAAAACCCATACTGATGATCCCCAATAATTTCATCCATGTATGGACTTAACCTTGAGAGAAGAATATTGGATAAAATTTTGTATGAAGTTGATAGCATCGATATCCCCCGATAATTACTACAGACAGTTTTATCACCCTCCTTGTGAACTGGTACAATAATAGACTCCTTCCACTGATCAGGCAATTTTTCCTTATGCCAAATAGAAGTAATTAGATTGTATATCTTAGAACGTAATATTTCGCCTCCTGCTTGAATAAGTTCTGCCAGAATTTGATCACTACCTGGCAATTTATACCTTTCCAATTTTGCAATAGCACTTTCTACCTCAAAAGGGCTAGGATCAGGTACTAACGGCTCAGCAGTATGGATTTCTGTCTGCCTAACATCACTGACCCTATGTACATTCAATAACAGAGAGAAGTTCAAAATGTTCTGGGAATCTGCAAGCAGATCACCATTCTCATCCTTCACTAAGTTGCTGGTAGGTTGGTAACCCCTCTTAAAGTCAATGGTTCTCTGGGCCATAGAGTGTACCGCAAATCCACCCATACAAACCTCTATCTTAACGCTGCGTCCCACCACCACCCTTCCAACAAGCAAGCTGTACTTTCCGCATTGGTGCACATGGCTGGAGCTCTGTGCAATCAAGACAACCTACATGTGGAGTTGGTTCTCCTGGGGGATGTTTTCAGGCATAACAGATACAACAGGCAGATCCACAGAGTTCTCAACCTTTGGCTGAAGATCAGTCGGCCTGAAGAAAAACCAGACTCAGTCACCTTCCTGCCCTGTTGTGACTATATTCAACCGCATCAGCAGAGTGCTGTCCCGGCACAACATCAAGTCATTGGGCCTGCCTCCAAAGAAATTAACTAATTTTCTCTGGCCGGTCAAAGATAGCCTGGGACTAAGGATATTGGTTGTATACAGTATCCCATGTGAGTGCAGCAAGATCTATATTGGGCAGACAGGCCGTTCTGTGGACATGAGGTTGAAAGAGCGTCAGCGGCACATCTGTCTCGAACGTCCAGACAAGTCAGCTGCGGCTGAACACAGCATCGATTTGGGATACCGCATTCAGCTTCAGAATACTTCCATCCTCGCTACCAAGACTCATTATATGGATTGCATCATTAGAGAGGCCATTGAGATTGAACTCCAGTCTGACAATAAGAACAGAGAGTTTGGGTTTTGCCTCAGCAAGTCATGCAATCCTCTCATCTCTTCCCTCAAGAAACCTCCGAGATATGATACCAGATCAACAAGGCCATTCATGTTCATCGCAGCCCCCGAGCTACAGGGTTAATGCCCTCCATTCAACCTTCCCTTCTCTCCCCCTGTTGCATCTGCTCAAGCTGGTTCGCTTGCGGATTTCTTCTTGTTTTCTACCCTGAAGATGGAGGTGATAGGTTCCTCCAAAATATCAGTTAGCACAATTTCTACACAGCGCCACATCCCAGAAGACGGCTTTCTTCATCCTCTTAAAGTCATTTAATCCTCTATACAGGTCTCTAATGTTCTTGTTCTTACTGTTCATTGCAAGCTCGTCAATTTTGTCTTTCAGATATTCCCTCTTTTTATTCATGAAATGCCTGCTGGTTTCACATTTTATATTGTTCAGATTATCCCAATTTATTTCACTTGGATCCTGTAACCATTGCAATTTGGCTGTTTTCTTTGGTCTAATAATTTTGAGCATCCATCATCGAATCATGGCTTATGCTTCTTCAGCTCATAATAACCTAGACTCTTCTTGGCAGAAATTTTTATATTCTCTCTAATAGTTTCCCAAGATTTGTTAACATCCACCTCAGTGTGCAAGTTTTCCAAAGCTGCAACCCTATTTCAGATTTCAACAAGATACTGCTCTTTACCCTCTACCTCATTTAATTCATTTGGCATTGAAATCTCTTAACAAAATTTTCATAGGATACTTTGGTAATTTATCAAATACATGTTCTGGTTCTTCATAAACCTGTCCTTTATGTCATCAATTTTATTTTCTTTTGGAGCATGAACATTCATAACAATGATATCACACCAGCGACCTTTTAATATTATATATGATATCCTATCATTAACACACTCTACCCTCTTAACTGCTGATACGATTCTCTTATGTACGAAAAAGCCTATACCTAATTCATGATTTTCATTTCCCTTTCCATAGAAAAATGTATATTCTCCTGCTGGTGCGATGCCACCTCCATCCCATCTGACCTGTACTCCCACTAAATCTAACTTATATTTTAAGATTTCTTCTGCCACTGCCCTGAGCGAACCTGCCCTATACATGCTTCTGACGTTCCGAAGCTTATGTCCGTTTTCTTTAGCTTAGGTCATTTATCCAAGGAATCCATCCAGGTCCGAGGCTTTGTGTTCATCTTCGTAACATAATTATTTTTTACAGTGAGGAGTTGTTAGCCCCACGCCCAACCCCCAAGCCAGAGGACCACCCCTTGTCGGCTGTCCGTGACTGCTTATTCAATATATTCGCAGTTTCCCTCCAAAACTGGAGGGCATCTCCTCCATCCACAACCTGAGGACGCGCCATGCCATGGTGACAAGGGACCCACCTAACATGGATTTGTGGGGACTACCTCAAGGATATTCAAGAGGAGACATTTTAATATTAAACAGAAATGACCTCAGGCAATATGACACATGAAACAGAAACTGCACAGTGAATCAATAAAAATAAATAAGTCAGTTTCAACATTAGAAATAACATTTGTTAGTAATGGAATAATTATAAAGTAGCTTCAGTGGAACAGAAAAGAAGCCAAACATACCATACAAAATAATCAAATCATCTAAATACCTCTGTGCCAGGAAAACTCACTGAGAGTGGAGATGCTGATTCAGGTTCTGTAGCCTTGTTGGGACTAGAACCTGTCAAATCTACAGAACTTCCTTTGGAACTCTTTTTCTTCCGAAGACCAAATTTCTTACGGTCTTTTTTTACATTAGGAGAAAAGCCTTCATTTGTCAGCTGCAATAAAATATCAAACATATATCATAAGTGTAATTATGTAATGATTAAAATCAATGTATAATAGAGGTAAAATTAATTATGTACTTGTACATCTTCACTTCATAACAGAAGACAACTTTTCTGCTCATTGGGTTTTGTGATTTAGAAGGGCCATGTCCTGAAGATGTTATGCACGCACACAAACAGAGTAGTCACCATCTTCAAGGTAAGTATGAGTTAGAAAGGGAAAGTGGACCAACATATAGGTCAAAGAGTCTTGTAAACGTATTTTTGTATTGGGAATTGTTTGCTCTTCTCTGACGTGACTACTTCTGACACAAAAACTCAATTGGTTCCATGATTCCCTGCATCTATGGAAAAACATACATGAATCAAACTGTCCATCACATTTCTGAGAGAATTTCATAACTCATCAGAGACACCTGACTACAGAATCAATCACCAGAAGTTGCTGACCACTACACCAAGATGAAATACAGATTCAATGAAACTGATGCCCTAATTAACATCCCACCTACTTTCCATGCATCATCAGGGAAGCCACTGAAATAATCAAATATCCTAACAATATCATCTGTACAGACAGATAAAATCTGAGCACAATCTGGCCCATTTCCCTTTACCCTTTCTTAACTACATGACCCCTTCCAACTGGATAACACCATGATCCACTCTCCACCCTTGCCTCCAGTCTAATTCCACCTTTGCCTCACATTCCTCTGAAGATGGTGACTCCACTGTGCCAAAATGGAACAAAGCTTCAACATATTACATGGATAAATGACTAAACCCTGAAAACCAGTTATACATCAGACAAGTGCTATAAAAACTGAAGGCAAAACATTTCTGTGCATGTATAAATTTAAGTGGATGGACAGCATACATATAAATAAGTTTAGAGACAATAAATGTCACTGAAGCAATACAAAAGTATCAATCCTCTGCCATATTTTTAAACTTAATGTACCATGAATTTAAATGTCTGTCATACATTACACTCCAGTAAAATTGGAGCAGTGGGGTAAATTAAATTCTCTAAGTTCTAATTTGTTAGGTATAGAGCGTACAATATTATATTACCTCTGCATCAATGGTTGGCATTGACTCTATCTGTTCCAGAATTCGTGTAAGTTGCACAATGTTCTGTGTGACCTGTCCCAGCTCTTTGTTGAGAGTCTCTAATGGTGGTGCAGAGTCAATGACCCAAGCAGCTAACCGACTTCCTGCACCTGTGCCAGAACCCAAAATACTAGGTGGGGGAGAACATGGCTTCACATTCCTTGTTAAAGAGCCATCACGATTTGGAATAATTTCAGGTGTCACAGCAATCTCTGCAAGAAAGCAAAGACACCAGTATGAGGAACTGGCTTTGCATGCTGTCCACATTGTGCTAGTCCGAGCTACTGCACACCACTTATTGTAATATTCACTTGAGGAAAAACGTTGCATGCATATGCTTTTTACTGTAAGCTATTATAAGCAAAAATGTGTGCACTGCTGTCCTTCTCTTTATTCTTCTGCTTTGTAAGCAGCCATCACGTACAAAAGAACAATGACAATTTCCACCCACCATGATCCAGTACAGACAGCTGTCCTATTTGTCTTTATGAAGTGTTAAGGGGATATTATAGTACAATTACAATGACATATAAAATGTTCCAAGTTCACTCATTGTTAGACTAAACCAGAACTGGGCAAGATGGTTCAGCGGTAATATTTCTGGTTTATATTCCAGAGGTGCTAATTATGAATCTTTGTTGTTGTTGTTCCTGGAAGATTCTAAAGGGTTCTGATGATGGTGTATAACAATCAGAATTACTTGGTTTTCAGGCTCTGTTCATCATCTGGTATTCTAGAAGCTAGGAAACATAACATTTCGGAGACTGGATCTATTTACATCCTCAGGTGAGGTGAGAGGTGAGAGGGGGGACACCTACTCTGCTGGGTTCCTTCCTCAATCATTGAGCCAGATACAGTGACTCAGGTTAGCTCTTTCTAAGGGACCCAATAGAGTAGGTGACTCCTGGCTTCACCTGAGGACGGAAACAGATCCAGTTTCCGAAATGTTGTATTTTCTAGCTTCTAGAATACTGGACAATGAACAAAGTCCAAAAACCCAGTAATGCTGTGGTTCCTATTCTGAAACCCAGAAAAAAATTCCTGTTACAAGTTTTTCATACTTCCTATGTACCAGCTGCTTCTTGTCAGCCAAGAACTTCCATGTGAATGACCTCAGAACAAGCCATCACACAGTAAGAATGCCACTGCTCAACTGTTCTTATACTTCTAGTTGTCAACATACTTTCATTGTCTGAAGCAGTATGTGTGTGTAATTATCCTTAGACATAAAACTGATTTAATTAGAACTACTGGAACACAAACTGGCTACTAAGCCAAATGATAAAATTTATAAAGTAATTACTGCATTTGTACCTGGAAATTATTATGCATGTCAATTATGAGGATGTGTAGCCAAGACAGTTAAAACAACAGCAGTTAAAGCTCAAAATGAGAAAAACTTGGGTCTACTTTAAATGTGGATATTCCTTACAATAATATACATGAAAAAGGAACTGCAGAAATCTACTTTATATATGAAGATGAAAAAAGTGGCAGTGTTTGTTCAATATACAAGAAAATAGAAAAATTATAAGCTGACGTTCTCACCTGGAACTAAAAAAGTGACAAGTATTTTTTTTGCATATTCACAGAAAAAGACTGACAATATTCTTCTCAGACATTCTGGGCCATAAATTCATGGTATGGAAAGAATTGTTTTGTGAGGAGTTTCATGGTCTCAAGAAGTACAGGGCAGGGGTGGGGTGGTAATTACTTAAGTGGACAAGTTCAAAATAAATGTTGTTTCTTGGGAAAATAAGGTGACAAGCCAGTATGTGTGGGCCACAAATTTTTTCTAACACAACTGGGATATTTCAAGATCCCTTTTAAGTGCCAGGTGAAGAAATCCCTCTTACTCTTGTTGCAAAGTGAGAAATATAAAACTGATGAAATAAATACAAGTGGTGACAGACAAAAATTCCAGGAAAATCAAAAGAAAGAAAAATGACTGAATATAGCAGCTCACATGAATATGCAGCAAAGAAACAGAAACTGAACAATGTTGAGAATATGTGCAGTTTCTAAACAATCAGAACCTTCCATGTAATGCACAATGAGGAAAAGTTAAATCTGGACGGAAGTCGATAGTCAGTCAGTAGACTTTCTCATACAAAATACCACCTCTAGCCTACAGGCCACTGTTATATTGTAGGTGCATTCCTCTTCCTCCTGTAAACTTATACTTTTACCACACAGGAAGTTTCTTCCCTGGAATGATGACAAGCTGAAGGAGCATCATTTGCCTTTTAAGAAAGCCAAATTTTTAATAATTTCTGGTAAAAGTAATATCTTATAATTTTATCAAAAAAAATTTTGTTCTTCATTTATTTTACTTTCTGATGGCTGATTCCCATAAACTGACATACCAATGACAGTGCTGTCATCACCATCATAATTGTGGGAGGTTTAATAAATAAATGAACACTTGTGACTGTGTCCTTGGTTGTCTGTAATCTGACTAAAAACTGACCACATTTCGTTATTTTCCTGTTTCAGAGAGAATTCTACATACAATCGAATGGATTTTGAGTCTGTAAACGCCAAAACTTAAATTCAGACTTGTTCAATAAAAATGAACTTACTACTGTGATCAGGGCTGTCATCCTCCACACTACTACACTGTGCCCTTATTACAGGAACATCTCTTGTGCCAAATGTGAGAAGATGTTGTCGATACAGTCGATGTTGTTTCAGCTGTTCCACCCACTTTACAAAAGTCTCAAGAGTCTTAGCCTGTTTAAACACAACATTTTAATTTGCTGCAGTTAATGGTGGTCAGATATAACTTATCTGATAAGCAAAACAAAGATCTATATTCCATCTAATAAGACACACATTTCTTGCATTTTCATTTCAACATATTTCAGTGCAGGATATTTCAACACTCTGAGTGCATGCAACTCACAATTTACTACAGTATAATAATACCTCAATATATGCAAAAGATGCATTCCAAGATCAATGTCTGTGTATTAAATAACCTATATGATAATTATGACTCAGTGTCATTATCATCACCCAAGCTGTGGCTATTATTTCTAATTATTTCTAACGGTGCTTTTCTTCCTTTTTTTATGTTCTGTTTTCTTTCAACACAGTGATTTTGTTTTTGCAGTGCTTGCTNTGATGATGATGATGATGATGATGAGGCGCAGTACCCTGTCCACAAGACATGACAAAACCTTGTCTCTGAGGTTCATCAAGTATCAGCTTCATGGAAAACACATACACTCAACTCTCGATTGTCCAGGGCTTTTTTGAGGCTTATGTGTTGTTTAATATTCATTCACTTTTGTTTCACATTGTGAGTTGTAACACTATTTTTGCACTAGTGTGAACCAAGCTCTGCATTTTTTGGTCCCGTTATGCTAAAACAATGTTCTAGGGTAGGGGTGAAAGAATGCAAGGATTTGTGGAAAGTTTCAAGGACAGATACATCGCCCCAGTTAGTCTCTTTGTATCGATCTTCAAGTACATTAGCACTTGAAGAGAATCTACAGATCAAATTTGCTACAAAAGTACATCGATGAAGGCAATGATCTTACATGTTTCTGGAAGTCTTTTTCAATGTTAGATGCCATACATGAGATTTCAATAGCGTGGGATACAGTAAAGCCATCTGTATAAAAAATTCATGGAAGAAACTGATGCCTTTCATCACTAATGAAGATGATGAAATCCATGGATTCACTGGATTCAGTGAAAATGAGATAGCCATAGAATTGACAAAATTGGCTAACCAAGTTCATGGTGGTGAAGAAGTCAATGAGGAAAATATAAGAGAGTGGTTTGACTGTGACTCGTGTGAGCCGAGTTTCGAAATTTTAAGCAGTGACGAAATCGTAAGTTCAGTGGGGGAGCAACCAGAAGAACGGGAAGAGAGTGAGAATGAGGAAGAGGTGGACAGTGCTGCTAGTAAGAAAATATCACATGGTGCTGCTCTTAATCATTTGGAATCCTTACTAGACTATCTTGAGAGTGAAGAGGACAGTTTATTAAGTGACAAGCTAATATTACGTAGGCTTCGTACGGATATCTGTAAAAATGAAAATGCCGCGAAAAAGCAAAGGACAATATTAAATTTTTTTAAATGTTAAGTGTGAATATTTGTAAAAAGTGTTGGATGTTGCTGAACACTGTGACTGAAATAACTAATTCATACTTCAGTGTAATGTAAAAAAAATATTAAATAGGCCATGAGATGACATAAAAATGAGGTTGAATAAATTTAAATACAGGTAGGCCTATAGTATTATGAAGGTACAGTATTACAATACTACTTTTAATAAAATTTGTCTTAACTAGGTTTTCGATTAATCGTGATTTCCATCCTCACCATTATCCTGGATAATCGAGAGTTGAGCGTATTAAATTAAATGAAGCTGCACTGTTTTTGTTGTTATTCTGTAGTCAATTTTTTATAATATGAAGCTGACAAAAAATGCTGAATTAATTATGGGGAGAGATCAGAGGATCCATCAATGATGAAGGTCCAGATTGATGGTCCTCTCCCCCTCAAAAGAAAAAAACAACAAAATACAATTCCCCGGTGCAAGCACCTTGCTGAGAATGAAATACCCCTTACTTTAGAGTGTAGCATTAAGAAGTGTCAATCTTTGATGCAGCATCAACATTTGGCATGCTTACTTTATTGGCAAAAATGTGAAACAATTTCAAATAAAATTCAGTTAAGTTACACAGAAATTTTGGGACAACAGTGATGAATTTTCAATAATAACACAAAATACAAGTAAACACAAATCTTGATTTTTGGATAAAATTGTTCAGCAATATTTAAAAAAAGCAAGTTTTCTTCTTCTCCAACACTATTTCAGCAATGCAGCCATATTCTACATCAAACTATGGTAGCTAAATATTAAGAACAAACAATATACTACCTTTAGGTGATAAATAAATTCTTCAGCATCTATATCAAGTCGCTTTCGTTTTGCTTTAGTTGATATAACAGACAAACCAATATCAACTGAACCATGAATCTTTCCTCGTGCGATGTCCCCTGGACCTTTACCGTACACCAAGATACCTTTGTCCACTACAAAGTATCGCTGAAAGAAAGAGAAATTAAACTTAATGCTGACGGAATTTAGGTTAAATGTCTGAAATTTCATAAAAATTAATTTCTGTAGTTTTGCAACTACTTCAAGACTCCACTGACTTCCAGATTGGAAGATTCTTTTGTTCAACTTTTGTGATTCCAAATACCTCTCATTTTCATCAGAGCAATGACTAGACTGTTAATATAGAGGGAGATCAAGAAGTCGCAGACATCACTTTAAGCAATTATATTTTGCTGATTTAATGTTCAAACTACAAGACATACAGCACTTACTATTAATGTTTACAACCTTACTAAGGAATGCAAAATCAAATCATGTCTTTACAACATATGCTCTGTGGAAACATCCCACATACTATCACGCTATTTCTACAGCGCTCACTTTTCACCATCACGCACGCTAACCACTCAAATTGCTTCCAACGTTCGCATTTATACAGTACTCACTGTCTAGTCATTACATGCGCTAGAGAATCAGCGCTCTGCAAATTTCGCTCCTCCATCACGCCTTATATAAAAAGGCGCAGCTCCAACCCGGCAGCACGCATTCAGTCAGCAGCAGTGACCACACCAGCCAGTCTGCTATCACACTTCGTACAGAGCGCTCGGTCTTCGGTGGCATCAGCACTTCGCTGCGTCAGGCACAGCTGCCTCGGCTCTCCGGCGGTCACACCTGACTCACTGGGCAACTCGGCCACCTTGACTCGCCGGCAGTCATGCCCGACTCACTGGACAACTGGCATAGCTACCATCTCTCCACTCCTGCAACCGCACTCCGCAAGCAGACGTCTTCCAGCAACCAGGCAACTCCCGGCAAATGACGCACTGCGACCAGGCAACTTCCGACAACTGCTGCACTGCGACCAGATAACTAACTCAGCTTCCACCACTCAACTCCGCCTCAGCTCTCTGGCGGTCATGCCCGACTCACTGGGCAACTGGCTGCCTCGGCTCTCTGGTGGTCATGCCCAACTCACTGGGCAACTGGCGTAGCTTCCGCCTCACTCCAGCTACCAAGCTCCGCAACCAGGCCACTGCCTCAGCTGCCGCAACATTAGTCCAGGCACCACAACCAACATCTCTTTCTACCGGCGTACATAGCACTACTTCACCGGCCAAACATCCCAACAGCCAACGGTCCTTTTCAGGACCTACAAACTTTCCGATGAAGTTGGTTGTCATTGGAGTAACGACAAAATCCCACAGCTTGAAATGGCTTTCCTGTTCAGCAACGCATGCGCGAGCTTTTTTTACTATGATTGAGGCCACTTTGTGGAGCACCTGTAAACTGATGCTGTTGATCGCCGTCATAATGTTCCTCTTGAGGTCATCCAGTGTATGTGGATTGTTTTTATAGACAATTTCTTAAAGGTACCTCAAAAGAAAAAACCTTCGGGTGACAAATTGGGTGAATGTAGGGCCACAGTCCTTTTGAAATGAGACGGTCACCGGAAAACTCGCGTAAACACTGCATGGTTTCATTAGATGTGTGACGTGTGGCACCGTCTTGCTGCAACCAACACTCATGTTCATCAACTTCAAGAAGAGCAATAAACTGTGTAATGACATCTTGGTACACTGGACTGTTCACTGTTGTTTCAAAGAAAACTGGGCCCACTATTCAACGATGTGATACAACACACCACACTCCAATTTTCTGAGAGTGCAAGGGCTTTTCATGTAACACATGTGGATTTTGAAAGGACCAAATCCTATTGTTTTGACTGTTCACGTAGCCAATAAGGTGAAACCACACTTCGTCAGTGAAGAAAACCTGATAAAACTCTTCAATTCCATGAAAACTCATTCGTGGGAAAATGACATGTCTGTCACGCAATAAACAAAGCTATACTGCTGACCTCGTATGACCGATACACGACAGATGGTGTTTCTACTCATTGTTAGTACTCCTACAGTATCATCTAGAGGTAGGAAATATAATTATATTAACTGCAATACAATTTATAACAACTTTTAGTTTGATGTGTGCGACTTTTCGATCTCCCTTTACATGCAATATTTTGGGCATCAGAGAAAACTGTTATGATTACCGTGCTCCGTGGCAGTATATGACCGAATGTCACAAGAGAGGATATGGTATTTTATATTTTACATTTTAAAACAGATGTATAAAAGATAATGTGAAGAAAACTGCAATCATTATCTCTATCTCCATCAATAAGCATCCCATTACTTCAATTAAAATACATAATTCAACATCTATCTGAAGTCAGACTACAAAAAATGGTGCACTGCATTCAAACAAAGCTTTCTTTTCGTTTACTTAATGATATTGGGGGCACACGGTAGCATAGTTGATTGAGGGATGATGCTACAAGCCGGAAGGTCGCAGGTTCAAGTTCCGATGAGGTCACTGGTTTTTTCAATTTACCTAATCCTTCTAGCCGCACAATGTCCCTGGAGTTAACTCAGCCTCTAACAGAAATGAGTACCAGGAATTAATTAAATAGTTTTCCTGGGGAGTAAAGCGCGGCCAGCGCGTAAGGCTGACAACCTTACCACTATCTTTGAGCTGATTATCTAGATAACGTGGGACCCTCATCTCACATCCATATGGGCCTTCACGGCCTGGTACAGAGAGAGCTTTACTTTTTATTTTACTTAATGATATTAAATTCACCTTAAAGGGTGGTATACACTGAAATAAAATGCAGCAGGCAATAAATGTTAGCTAAAACATAAAAATATTCCACTACCTTCTCATTTCACTACAAGAACTAAACACAGATCATTACCAAAAATTATCCTTCATGTATGGAGTACGGAATTTAAAATTCCCCATTAGTATTGGGGTGGCAGGCGGATTTGTTGAGTTACAGTATTAGCAATGAAAAAATGTGATGCTTAGCTGGCTGGACTCTGTGCATGTGCAGTTACAACCATGTAATGCATGTAATTAAGGTTAAGAAAACAGCAGAGAACAATCAACTATAGAAACAAAGTCATTAATTTCAAGTACATTTCAGCACGCTGCATACTTTTGTGGGCAAGCATCATAATTTCAGTATGTAATAAATGTGGGATAACTAGCCTGGGTTGCAACACGACCTGACTGATAACACTTCAAATACCACTCCAAATTCCACCTCTAAAACAATTGATAGATTCAGCAGGGAAGACAGAGGACACTTTTCACATTCTCTGGGAGGGGAAGAGATGATTTAATATATAAAAAGATTGCAATAGATGCAATTTATTTCTTATTTAAATACAATTCATGTACAGGTAATGAGAAGTGCTGGAAAAAAAGCATATACAAAAGAAAAAAATCATAAAGTAACAATTCCATGACTGATGAAGCTATTTTTGTCTATAATTTGCATGAGTAAAAATTTCATCTAGAACAAGTACAAAGCAATCTCAGATAACTTCAACAGTTTGCTGTTTCTGGCTTTATTTAACAGCTACTGACAGCACACCCTAAGAATGCAGGATACATAATATACAGGGTGGAGCAGAGGAAACGCGTGTTTTTCAAATGGCTAGTACTTGGCAAAGGTGGAGTTGATGACCTTGGGCGTCAGCCGTGACCGACTGGTTCTGGTTGGAGCAGAACCCACAAGAGGTATACCAAATACCTTTCCACAGCTCAAAAGTGTGGTGTGATGTTTCTAAGTTAGGGATCATTCGTCCTTACTTCTTTGAAGAGGGGGAGACTGCAGTTACAGTGACTTTGATGCACTACATTGACATGTTAAATAACTTCCTGCATTCAGAACTCCTAAGGTGTCGGGTAAACAGGAGACAAATGTGGTTCCAACAGGATGGTGCCACAGCTCACATGCTAAGAGCATCAATGGAAGTTGTTTGATGCATGTTCCCCCAACATGTGATCTCCCATTTCAGTGATGATTCTTGGCCCCCGCGCTCCCCTGATCTATTGGTTTGTGGGGATACCTCAAGGCAAGAGTGTACACGAACAGACCATGAATGATCCTACAGCTGAAACTTTCCATTCGTCAAGAAATCACAGTTGTGCCGAAAGACATGTTGGAGAACGCGATGCAGAATTTTGAGGAGAGGCTCCAAATATGTGTCCAGCAAGAAGGACATCATCTGACTGATATTATTTTCTGTACATAATGTAAGTTAAAATTGCATTAATATACCTTCTTTTTTGCATAATTAAAAAGGTTTTATCTTTCAAATCAGCAATGTTATTCTTATGTGAAAAACATGTTTCCTCTGCTCCACCCTGTCTGAATCCAGATTAACCCTTTGACGTGGTCATTTAAATTCCGCGGCCGCGGCTCCTGCGGTAATATATTCAGCCGGCCATTTAAATTTTGCTCGAAAATTATTTATTCATCATTGTTCTTAAATTCTATGAGATAGGAACATGAAACTTTCACTAAAATGATCTTAAATTGTGGTTTTATAACCTTACCTTATAATATG